TACTATCTGACTGAACAGATATGGAATTGACAAACCTCTTGTTTGATCAGCAAAATAACGGTTGAGATTCAGTCTCTAGGGGATTGCCTGTTTCCAGGTTTTTCTTTGTCTGTGATGTCTGCCCAGACCCAGCGGCTTTTCAGTCGCCAAGTTTTGTTGCAGAAGTTGGTTATTGCTTCGTAGGCTGTTGGGTTGTGTAAGATTGATTTCTTAAGGGGTAATAAGTTGAGGGGTTTCAGGGCTTTTTCTAGTTTGTGACGTTCTTGGTTGAACCTGTTGCATGTAAATAGAAAGTGATCAACTGTTTTGAGACCTTCTTGGCAGTCGCAGCTAGGGTCTCCTTGTTGTTTGAATTTGAATAGATAGTGATTAAGATGGACGTGACCTGATCTTAATTGTGTCAACGCGGCTATTTTGTGTTTTTTGAGCAGTGATATGCGTTTGAGGTGTTTTGTGGATTGTGGTTTGTGTCCGAGTCGTTTAATGTCGTCCACGTTGGTGATGGTTCTAACTTAATTAAGTCCCCTCAGTGCCCGGGGGAAAAAACCACAACAAACCCAAACTTAACAAAGTCCCTCGCCAAAGGCCCGAGCCCCAGCGACGGACTTACTGCTAATAATGGATTTCTTGCGTGAGAAGTAGCCTGTATTGGCTCAGAAATCTCTACATCAGTTTACTTTCTTTATCCCTCAAGAAACCACATCTGGTGCAAAAGAAAAAGATAATGGTAAGGTCTCATTACATATGCTCCAATTTCAACCTCCTTTGTAACTTGCCGGAAACTTACACTTATGAGTGATTGAAGATCAAACAATTTGACCTTTTTCTAAGAAATACAGCCTCCGAGCGGGCTCGCCAGTCAGGAAAAGTAAAAAAGACTCATTCTTTATCATCCAACAGCAGGTGTTCCAGACAATATACTGCAAAGCTTGCAATTGTAACACATGTAGTGGTTATTTTTTGTCTCACTTTTATTTTGCTTCGAGCCTGGTTTATTTATAAACAAAACGAGGATTTTGAAGTAGTGTTTTTTGAGCCGATACAGGCTACTTCTCACGCAAGAATTTCGTTTTTAGCGGTAAGTCCATTTGTGACGGTGCCGCTACTCTAGCTTAATTCCTCACATGTATATAAGTTGTGGGCGCCGGTGGCGCCCTTCTGGAACTACTGTAATTCATTGCTAGTTTAGCATTCATGTATTTCAGATGACAAGCATGTTCGCCATACCATAGGTATGGGGTGTGGGGGAGAGATGTCTCGAAATTCGGCTTTTTTGTTTACCGAACAGTCGACCAAATCGGTCAACGAAAAATCAAAATGGAGGGGCAAATGAGCCCAAAAACTCTTTTTGGTCTCAAAAACAGCCTCAGGGCTGTTTTTCAAAATTGAAGATTTTTTGATCAAAAACCGTTTTTGGTTTTGATCAAAGACCGTTGCCGAACGCTGCTCTTTTTGTTAAAAACCAAAAACC